TGCTCCAAGATCTTTCTATATCATTTAAGCCATGAAGTAAAAAAAAAAAAAAAAAAAGGCACACTGCCAACTGGTGTTTGTTTGGTTACAGACACACACAAAATTATAATTGTTAATCATTTTTCCAGAAGATACTCAAGAAATTCTCAACAGTAGTTACCTCCAAAATTTGGGAGACAGGAAAATGGGGAGGGTTTAATGAAGAAAACTTTATACACCTTTGAAAATTTTTTACAATGACACTTTTCTAGTAAAAATAAAATTCAAATGTTTCTTGGGGAAAAAAGATGAACTATCTGGGTCAGAATTCAGATAACCTTTGTTGATTATCTGAATTAAACCAGATTTTTCTGTAGTGTAGTGTTGATCCTGTTTCCGTAAGATGCAGAGCTCCTGGTTTAAAAATAACAAAGTCACCTAGTTTAGAGATGTATATTACAGAGGTTTAGAGCACAGTCACGGGTCAAACAGACCTCATGGTCTAAATTCTGGCTCTGCCTATAATACCAAGTATATGACTTTGGGCAGTTAGAACTATGCTCAACCTTTATCTCCTTATAGGAAAATGGGATACCAGATATACATGAAAGATTGTCCCAAGAATATGAGAGAATAGGTCAACTGCTTAGCACAGTGCCAGGTAATGCAGCAAGTAGTGTTCAATAAATAATAACCATTCTTAGGTGCCACTAACATAAAAACAAGAGCATTGTCTGCAAAGTTTACCACACAATTTCGATATTCCCCAAGACCACCTCACATCCTGGAGTCAGAAAGTTATGGAGGTTTGACTTTATAACAGCAAAATCAAAGCCCCCTCTTAATTATATCAATTTCTGATGTGCAAAACTTGATTTTCTTTTTTTTTTTAAAGACTGGTAAGGGGATCTTAACCCTTGACTTGGTGTTGTCAGCACCACACTCTCCTAAGTGAGCTAACTGGCCATCCCTATACAGGGATCCAAACCCTTGGCCTTGGTGTTATCAGCACCACACTCTCCCAAGTGAGCCACGGGCTGGCCCTGAAACTTGACTTTAAAAATCCTTCCTGGTGTTACTCAATATGTGATTGTAAAATGTTCTGAGGAGAATCAAAGAGGAAAACTAAAATGGTATAAAATCTGTGTCCCTGGCTCTGATACCTTTCACATTCACTATCTCAACACCTGTCTTACAGCTAAGGGAAAGTGGGATTGTCCCTCAGCCCCCTTAACAGGTCAGGAGCCAGGATCCAAAGTTCACACACCAAAGGTTATTCAAGATGAAATGAGGGTGGGAGTTGTGATCTAGCTCATGTCTGTTGGTCTCCAAAGCCTGTGCTTCTTCCATGACATGGGAATGCCCAGCATTGTTTGGACTGCACCTTTAATGCTATGGTTGGCAATCAAAACAGGCTGAGCAAAAACATGATTCTAACTACAATCAAACTTTAGGACTAACTGCAAGATCTTCTGTTTGGACTAATAACTTCTAGAAATTTTTTAAAGAAATGCACTTAAAATGAATAAACCTTCTGGTATAAGTCATACCTTAGTAAAGTTGTTAAAAGTATAAAAATAAAAATTGCAGAAAGACAAGGCACGCAGAGGAACTTATATTCCATTAGATTCACTTACTACTTAGAATGAAAAGAGACTTTAGAGACTGGTTAGCTAACTTAATCCTATCACTTTATAGTTGAGTAAACAACATCCTAAAGTGGCAAGCTGATTTATTTGCCCAAGGTAACAAGGATAGTTAATGGCATATCCAAAGCCTTGGAACTTGAAACTAAAAGGACAGATAACTAGTACCATTTGGAAGAGAGAAGTAAACATATGGGATGTATTATCCCATCTAAGTGTCAGATGTAGAAAATTAAAACCCAATAGAATTATTGCCATAATAATACCTACTGAAGGATGGAATTAAGGGTAAAAATGAGTCAATCCCCAAATTTCTACTACACAGTTGCAAAGTATATATCACCCCACCCCCAAAAGCATATATCTTCATGGACACCATAGTTCTCTAGCACTCACTCTGTGCTATGTGTTTTGCATGTATACCATCCCATCCAAGCCTCACAAAAGGCTTCTGAGGCAAGTATATTAACACTGCCATCTTCAGATGGGAATTTGAGGCTCAGGGAATTTAAGTCAGTGACTCAAGATTACCTATCTAAAAAAAGAGGCTGAGGGGCCGGCCCAGTGGTGCACTGCTACAGTGCGCTGCTTGGGAAGTGCAGCAGGCGCTCCCGCCGAGGGTTCGGATCCCACATACAGACCGGCCGCTCACTGGCTGAGCGAGGTGTGCGAGCAACACCGAGGGTTGCGATCCCGTTGCTGGTCCCGGTCCGGTACGGGCTCGACACTGAGGGTTGTGATCCGTTGCCGGTCACGAAAAAAGACAAAAAGGAAAAAAAAAGAGGCTGAGCCAGGAGTGGAAGCCAGGTCTCTTTTGATTCCAAAGCTCCTGTTCTAAACAACCCTGCATCCCTGCCTGCCATGTGGGTCATGATAATAAAGCTACTGCTTTTTCCACAATGACCTATCTACTCCTCCAGTCCTGTGTAACTTCTGATGGTGATGATCAGCAGCAACTGCATTAAATATTTACTTTTCCCCATACTATTTCAGGGTATTAGTTTTGCTTCCTCAGCCCAATGACTGGCTCCCTGAGAGCAGGGATAGTCACAGTTCTTGGGTCTTCATCAATCTGTGCCTTTTAAAACATTTAAAAACAGGGTGCACATCAGCTATTTCATATGGATATTGCAAGGACTCAATGAGCTAACATGCATAGAGTGCTAAGAATGACCGAACCTGGATGTTCTTATAACCTCGTATTTCACATGTATTTAATTAGAATTCAAAGACCTGAGCTGTTTAGGTCCTACCTCCTTTGCCATTTACAATCTGTGTCCTTTTTGGCAAAACACTTAGCCTCTCTGGGTTTCTGTTTCTTCATCTCGGGAAAGCAAACTGGAGATAATTTCCACACTGTCTACCTTATATAGGGGTACTGTGATGTTGAGATGGATGAGAAAATACTCTAGAAACTGCAGAGGTTTCTCAACTTCAGCACTATTAACATTTGGGGCCAGACAACTTTTTGTCATAGGGGCTGTCCTGTTCAGTGTGGGTATTTAGCAACATCCCTGGCCTCTACCCACTAAATACCAGTAATATCTCAGTTACAACCCAGTTGTAACAACCAAACATGTCTCTAGACACTGCTAAATGTCTCTAGCTGAGATCATTGGACTACATGGTAAACTCCTTTCTTTCAAGTACCAGCTAACTCCTTTCATAAGCAGCAGTTAGAGACACTCAGGTTATACCCAGAACCTTTGCAAATTAGCATCTATTGTTTCCTGAAGGCTTTCTATGTGCCAGGCACTGAGCAATTAGCTTCTCCCAAACACCGTGCTCACACTGAACCCCAGACTAGAGAGGGCACTGCTGATTCCAGCTGGCACTTCCTCCACCCCCACCCCCACAGTCCTTAAGAGGAGGCATTTTTCTGAGTGCTGCCCTATTCACATGCATAAGACTCATTCCTGCTTAACCCATCATTTTTTCCCCATTGAATTATTTCTATAAACATGGACATATAGGGCTTTAAAACAGTTATCCCTCAATTCTCCCTAACCCCAGTCTTATTGACACCATTAATTAGTAGGAGAAAAACTTTATTCATAGAGAATGTAAGATAAACTTGTAGTCTAGTCTGATCTTATTAGTTATTTTAAAAGTTATATAGATTTTTATATATTTCCTTTTGAATTTATATATATACAGTGCTTGGAGGAATTTCTTTTTAAACTACCATACACAACAGCCACCTGTCCTGACTTGGGGGAGTTGGGGCACTCCTGGCATCTATCTGCATGGGAAGGAAGAATGGAGGTGGGGATACAGATCTCAGTTCAGCCCTGGGGAGAGGAGGACTGAAGACTGTCTAAATACAACTGAAAGATGCTGTGCACATTTTCTAAATAAAAGCTACATCTCTCTACCTCTGAGTGTCCCTGAGAATGGGTTATAGTTATGCAGAGATACTGATTCTCTCAGGCCTTGGAGTGGAGAGACGGGGCCTTGGACAGGTGGTTGAGAGATTCTAATATTCTGTATAAACATTGTGCTATGTACTGTGACATGAAAAAAAGTTGGGAAGCACATCCCCAGAAGCACAAAAATGTCAAGGTGATTTTCTTCTTCTTTGTGCCTTTCTGGTATTTTCTGAGTTACTTCTAATATTTTACAAGTTATTTTTATACTTATTAACAAACTGATATTATTTATTTATTTATTTAAAAGATGATTGGTAAGGGGATCTTAAACCTTGGCTTGGTGTTATCAGCACCACACTCTCCCGAGTGAGCCACGGGCCGACCCTAAACTGATGTTATTTTTACATTTACTTGCTGTGTAACCTTGAGAACATAAGTAACCTTAATCTCTATGTTTCAGTTTCCTTGTTTATAAAATAGGAATAGTAACAGTACCTACCCCCAACGACCTATACTAAGCACTCAATGTTTGCAATTATTATTTTTTAAATAATATTTTAAAAATTACAGGTCTCAGAAAGAGCACTGAGAAGCCAACCAATGCTTTAGCTAATAGCTGAACATCACCAAGGATGAACTGAAAAGTTGCTCATTAATAGTGAGAGAGGGAGAAAAAAACCCCACCTTTCATGAGAGTGAGGCTAGTTCTAAAGACAAATAAGAATTCAGAAGAGGGAAAAGTGGCTTGATTTGTGACACTATTATCTCAGGCTCAATTTTAGAGGGCAGGTCATTTCAACAAAAGAAAAAAAAGCATGTAATTAGAAACCAGAGCACAATGATGGCCTCATCCTCATTCACTCTGCCTTTCTCATGTGGTCACTGGGAACTAGCAAATGAGAAATTTGACTCAGAGTAAATATCGCAAAATCATTTGGACTCTGCAGCCACATTTGCAGAAATCAGAGCCAACCCACCCCTGGGAAGCTCTGCTTTGAGCACTCACCTTGAAGGAGAAAGTAATCGGAAGTTGTGCGCTTCAGAGTGGCCTTTGCTTTATCACTGTTCCAGTCCACCTCCAGTGCTTCTTTAACTGGGCAGAAGACCACCTTCTGTTGAAAAAAGGCAGAACTGCTTAGGGATAAAATACGTTGGTTCTAAATGACAGGGCAGAATAGTTCTTCTCCGTCTCACAGAAATTTCATTATTTAAAGTTTACTCGATTGGGAGGGAGGGGCAGAGAAAAAATAAATAATAAAGTTTACTGATCATTAAAAGAAGCCAAGTCCACTCAAATCCAAGAAATGCTTGTGAGCACTACGCAGTCCTGTGGGCACTGGGGACTCAATGACAGACAACATGTACTCCCTGAACTGAAGGAATAAGAGCCAACCTCCTAAAGATCTGGTTCCATTCTGGCTCTTTAATGCTGGCTGAATTTATACTATAGAAATTCTTGCACAAGTGAACAGTGAGAACAAATACCTAAAGATACTCAATAAAACTTTCTTTGTAATAGTTAACAAACACAAACGAAAATTAAATGTTTCTCAGTAGAAGAATGGTTTGATAATGATGATTGATGACAATAATAAATAACAGCAAGGAAAAACAATAAAGGGAATGGGATAAAAGCTCTAGGCTATGGAAATAGAAACGGCATATACAAAAGCCCTGGTAAGAAGAAGTATGGCTGGAACCTATGAAGTTAAATCAAATTACCTTGAAAAATGCAATGATGTACACTTTATTTTAAAATACTGCATAAACAATTTATTTTCTAATTTTGTACAATAAGTAGGTATTATTTGTGTCCCCCCCAAAAAACAAGAAGTAAAAAGTATGCAGAAGAAAATGGTTTTCCTTTCCTTTTCCTGATTAATTCAGTCCAAAAACCATTTGCTAGAAAGGGCAAGGGAAAGAGTGTTAATGGTGGCGATAGTTGACCCAGGCAGAGGAGTCAGAGCACAGTGGTATAAGAAAGGCATCCCCGTGGAAGCAGCAACAGGAGACTCGTGACATCCAAACACTTGATGCAACAAATAAACACATTGAGAATTTGGGGCACCAGGTGTGACTGTCAGAGAAGAGAATTAGCAATATGGAAAGAGAAAAAACTAGAATGAATCCTGTGGTGGGAGATATTGGTGAGAACTCATTTTCATTATATATGCACAGATAAAAAAATAAATGCAGATATGTGTGTGTGCACATACAAATATTAACCAGTTATGTTTGCTGAGAGGGCCTAATTGCAATGACATCCTCGTAGCAATAAGCACACTTAACAATCCAGATTTTGGTTTCTAATCACCATTCCCCACTAAGAGAAACATTTCTCCTTAGAGAAATGCTGATTTCAAAGCCTGAACAAGCAAAGTATGTGAGAAGCCTACAACATTTCACCGTGCCAGAAAGCACGGAAGTGCTCAAAGAATGAAGAGGACATATCAAAAAGAAACAAAAGCCAGCATAAAGGAGCACTGGTCAAATCTGGGACAATTTGAGGATAAAAATAAAGTGATAATAATACAGTGAAAATGATGATTTAAATAACTGGAATCCATTAGTCCACAGAATTCCTCATTCCAGTTTGACGAGGAGTTGGATATTAACATATTTTCAAAGTACTTCTCTACAAAATACATATTAATCACACAGAGAAAATAACTTTTCAAAGGAGAAGTCTGGCAGACACCGTCTTACTCAAACGATCAAAGTTAACATCACCAGTAAAGGGGCCATATGGAAACCATGCACCAGATCATAAGATGCAATGGGAAGCATCCATTCTGTGATATTCTTGTGAAAAATATGTAACTGGAATCTAGTCACAGGGAAACATCAGATGAACCCAAACTAAGAGATATTTTACAAAATAACTGGTTTGTAATCTTCAAAAGTGTCACGAAAATCTAGATGCATGTATGATCCTGAACTGGATCCTTGTGCCATTAAGGACATTATTGAGCCTGACCAGTTAGCTCAGTTGGTTAGAGTGCAGTGTTATAACACCAAGGTCAAGTGTATGGATCCCCATACTAAAAACCAATTCACGGACATTATTAAAAGAAGTGTTAAAACCTGAATAAAGTCTAAAGATTACATAGCAGTTATGTATCCATGTGAATTCCCTGATTTTGGTGGTTGGTTTATGTTTATGGAGGATGTCTTGTTTGAAAAAATACAGACTGAAATACTTGGGGCTGACAGATGGGGCATCCTGTTGGCACCTTACTCTCAAATGGTTCAGAAAAAAATTGTTCTTGCTCAGATGGTTAGCATGCAGCCTTGTAACACAAAGGTCATGGGTTCAGATCCCCACACCAGCCAGCCACCAAAAGAAAAAAACAGTTCTTACCACTAGCTACTTTTCAAAAGTTTAAGATAGTGTGTGTGTGAGTGTGTAAATAATTTCAAACTTACAGAAGTATGTGTCTATCTTTCTTCCTCTCTTCTCTCTCTCCCCCACCCAGATATTTAAAAAAGAAAAAGACAACAGTATAATTTAGGAAACTAAGTGAATCAAGATTTTTCAGTTACCAGGCAGCTTTACAAAGCTTGCTAGGGACCAAAATGGATTTGATAGATGAAAGTTTGAATTGTTAGCGACAGTTAAGCAGTCATGGTTTTTAGGTGGCTTTCTGCATCCTCACAACTACTCCTTCGGGGTTTGGATCCATTGTAAAAGTTTGTATACAAGATGTTTGTACTGCCCTCAAACCTTTTGGTCAATGGGTCTGTTTTACCTCAAAAGAGGAGTCATGTAGTCAGACTAGTGACATTTAATGCCTGCTATGGACTGCCAGACCCTTGTTAACAAGTCTTAAAACACAGATCAAGCCATGAACAGTATGGTCTGGGAATGCCATAAGAGCTCAAGTCAGACTCTTTGTTATTTGCCTGGCTATGAGCAATGCTAAGAATCCACTGATTCTTTGGGCCATTAAATGACGAATGGAGGGGGTGGAGAGGTTGTGTTTTAGAGTCTTGGTCCCAGGGTCTGGGGCAAAAGCATAAATAAAGACCCATATATCATGTCTAGATATAATGTAAGTTACACTAGCAAGCTGTTAAATATATTGTATTCTGCCTTGACAAATATACCCTTTTGGCTGGCCGGTTGGCTCAGTTGGTTAGAGCATGGTGCTATAATAACACCAAGGTCAAAGGGTTGGGATCCCTGTACTGGCCAGCCACCAAAAAAACAAACCAAAGACAAAGGGAGACAAATAAATCTTCTTCATAACCACCTGGAAGCCAGTTCAAATTCGGAATTCTCACACACCTGGGGAGTTCTGTGCCAGAACAAGGTACACTGGGAAAGCTGGCCCCCATCAGTTCCCCCTTTTCCTCCCAACTCTGGCTCTGACTCACAATGCAAGAGGCTTTGTACTTGAGGGTGGCCACCCAGCTCATCCTTCCCCACCAAAACATCCACCCCTCAGGCCTAGGCATTTGGACACTGTGGCAGACTCTGCACTCCAGAGGCAGACCAGGGAAGAAGCCCACCAAAAAACCAGAGAAGCTAAGCTTAGGGTTATCTGGGCAGGAGATTCTAGGGTTCCCAGGTAACCAGAGTGTGGCCTAGAACTGAAGGGAAAAGGTACAGGCTCTGGGTGGGCACATTTCCTTGACCCCATAGAGGCGAACAGCTGGAGGAAAGCCAGGGAGGAAACTTCTACAGCGCTAGGGTCAAAGATAGAGGCCCTTTTTGCCTGGGTCTAAGGGCAAAACTATTCCCAGTTCTGCCTCTAATTTGTGATCTTAGATGAATTAATTTACTTCTCTTGGGCCTGTCTGTGGCTGACAACTTTTAGGGACATTTCCTGGTATCTGGAAGGAGTCCCCAAGTGGCCCTGTCTGCAATGTGTACTAGCCCTCCAGCCACAGGTGACATCCAGAGGTGGGCACATGGTCTCAACCAGGCCAATCAGATCCTCTCTTCTGGGAATTGAGAATATGAAAGTTAGGATAAGAGACACATTAACAATAGAGCTTTAAAGAGAAAGTCCACAAATTCCTACTCTTCCAGGATTCCCAGCAGCCCTGGTGTGTATTATTTAGATCACAGTAGTTATTCAATGCTTCTTACTCTACTCCAGCATCCCTCCAATTAATGCCCCTTTTGGTTCAAACTGCCCAAAGCCTACAATCAAAAATAAAACAAAACTTAACCAAGTCACCTAATCTAGAGCAGGATGGATACAAAAGGTGGTAAAACCCACCTCATCGGCATTGGGTTTATATAGAGAAAACACATTCTACAGTGCTTTCAGGGAAGAAAGTATCTTTCAGGGCCAGCATGTGGCTCATTCGGGAGAGTGCGGTGCTGATAACACCAAGGCCACGGGTTCGGATCCTACATACGGATGGCCAGTTCGCTCACTGGCTGAGCGTGGTGCTGACAACACCAAGTCAAGGGTTGAGATCCCCTTACTGGTCATCTTTAAAAAAAAAAAAAGAATCTTTCAGATGCGGCACTCTGCAGCATCTGCCAGGTAGCAGCATTCACTATCCACCTGAATGAATACACTACAGCAGGTAATTTACACATATTCCTCACACTTCCACTTCTCCACATATTCAGCTCCTGGCTCCCTCTGCCCAGAATGCCTGGTTCACTCCCCTCCACTATTCATTGCCTTCCCTGCCAATTCTGGGTTTAAAGATTTCAACCTGACAGTCTAGTTAAGACTAGTAACAAGCCCTCTTAACAGCATTAACTGACCTCCTTTCTTCCAATGGATATCAGTTTCCTGGCATGGACCACAACCAAAGGCACAGCGTTGAATAAACTAGATTTTCAATAAACATCCATGAGCTGATAGATCTAAACTGCTTTTCATTTACCAAAAAGCCCATCAGTAAATGTAAAAGACAAATTTTTCACATAACCTATCAACCATCAAATTATGGGGTTGTGCTGAGCCATTTTAGAATAGTGGGAAACTGCAATAACTTCAATGCAACAGGAGACTGGTTGAATAAATTATGGCAATACTAAAGGAGGAAAAGTTATGCAGCCATTTAAAATCACGCTCTCTCTCTCTCTTTTTTTTGGGCAGCTGGCCGGTATAAGGACCCCTACCCTTGACCTTGGTGTTACAAG